AGCCGGGAAGGGCCAGCCTCCTCCAGGCTCCCTGGCAGGACCCACGCCCTCGGTCGTGCTCTCAGGGCTGAGGCTCCCAGCACGGGGCAGGGGCTGCGAGCAGAGGCTCCCCAGGCTGGCCCCCAGGGCGAGGACCACCTGGGAGCCTCTGCCCAGGTGCGCTGCCATCCAGTCTTCTTCCGTCACGCACGTGCCAGGCGCCTCGAGGCTTTACCCTCTTCCGGGGCATCTTGGGGCCGTACCAGAGCTTCCCCAAACGTCGGAGAGCCCCTGTCCCTTTGGCTTTTGGGGCCACACATGCAGATTCTGGGAACAGGCTTCCCTTAGACGAGCCCAGCTCGCCTCCTGGCTCAGCTGCGGTGAGCGCCACAGCTGCACAGCCCAGGGTCCCGGGGCCTCCCCCAGCTCCCATCGTGGGCGGAGACACACAGGCAGACAGACGTGGTGAGGCCTCCAGGCAGCTGACGGAAGAGGCAGGGCGGGGTGGCCTCAAGGACTCGGGGAGCCGTGTCCTGATGCCTGGCCTTTCCGCTGTCTCTTGCCCTCAGTCCTGAGCCCGACGCCTCCACCTGGCATGAGCCCCAGCCCTGACGAGAGCACGGCACACACCCCGAGCAGCACCCCATCCACCGCCCCGGGCACGTCCCCGAGAACGCCGCCTTCAGTAACCACCCCCTTGCCCACCCTGGGCTGTGAGCAGCAGTGCCAGTGGTCGCAGTGGCTGGACGTCAGCCGTCCAGGACGGGGCACAGACAGCGGGGACTTCGACACACTGGAGAACCTCCGTGCCCACGGGTACCAGGTTTGCCGAGCACCGAGGCAGGTGGAGTGCCGGGCCGAGGGCGCCGCTGGGGTGCCACTCCAAGTCCTGGGGCAGCACGTGGAGTGCAGCCCACAGGTGGGGCTGACTTGCTACAACAGGGACCAGGCTTCCGGGCTCTGTGAAAACTACCAGATCAGGATCCTGTGCTGCTCCCCCGAGGACTGCACCCTCAGCAGCACCACCTCTCCTGTCACCTCCAGGACTAGCAACACACCTGCCCCAGGTTCCACCACACCTGCCCCAGGTTCCACTACACCTGCCCCAGGTCCCACTACACCTGCCCCAGGTTCCACCACACCTGCCCCAGGTTCCACCACACCTGCCCCAGGTACCACCACACCTGCCCCAGGTCCCACCACACCTGCCCCAGGTCCCAATACACCTGTCCCAGGTACCACTACAACTGTAAAAAGAATCCTCTCGACTTCCAGCCCAATGTTAGTTTCAACAGTTTCAACCACAACCTCTGTGCCGACCACAGCCCCGGGGACCTCCAGTCCCCCTGGCACATCTACGCTCAGCGACAACCCCTGTCTGCGAGAATTATGCACTTGGACTGAGTGGATTGATGGCAGCTATCCTGGATCAGAGAGAAACAGTGGAGATTTTGACACTTTTCAGAATCTGAGATCCAAAGGATATAAATTCTGCGCAAATCCCAGGAACGTGGAGTGCAGGGCAGAGCGCTTCCCGAACACCCCGCTGCAGGACCTGGGGCAGGACCTGATCTGTGACAAGACGGTGGGGCTGATATGCCGCAACGAGGACCAGCTGCCCCCAATTTGCTACAACTATGAAATCCGGATCCTATGCTGTGAGGTGGTAAATGTGTGCACGACAAACACCTCCCCCTCCACTGTGCCCGGGGCCACGCCCTGGACCACACGCGAAACCAGCGCTGCCCGGACCACCGTGCTGCCCTCGCCTTCCACCCTACACAGCAGCACCAGCTCCCCACCCGTGTCCCCAGCAAGCAGGGTCATCCCCAGCACACATGAGCCCTCCCCACCTGGGACCAGCACAACCTCTGCTCCGACGACCAGCACGACCTCCGCGCGGACCACCGGCCCCCCCTCCGCTCCGACGACCAGCACGACCTCCGAGCGGACCACCGGCCCCCAC